AGTTACGGAGGTGTCAAATGTCTTATATAAACGAGCGCACATTCTTAACCGGTCATCTTTTGTTAGATCCGGAGGCGACGCGTACCTCGAATTACTCATGATTAAATCCATCAGTTACTCCTGGTCCAGCGTGCGGGCTTTTCATAAGTTCGTTGCGAAACAAGTGGAGCAGCGCCGTTTGGAATGGCAAGATTCCAAGGCTATCAATGATCAGGCCACGACCTTTTTTCGCCATTCGGATCTTCGCTCTTCCTCCTCGCAACACGAGATCGCGCAAGTTTCGCAACCGAATTCTTGGCATTCTGGCAATAGCACACCTTCAAATCAGCAGGCAGGCAAACCCGGTCTAAAGGCATGTAGAGCGTGGAATTACACTGGTACTTGTGATTGCGACAAACAGGACAGTGCAGCCTATAGCGAACACCATCGTTGTCGGGTCTGCAAAGCGGATCATCCGATGTTACACTGTCCGAAACGCCGCACACCAATTCCGGCACAGTGACAATCAGCTTTACAAGTTCCCAACACATTAACCTCTTCGACCCGGAACGGACACGGACACGAATCTTTCAACACCGCAGCTGTGGTACGTTATTTACGTGCCTCGCGTTATCCTCAACCAAATGCTTTCGGCGCTAAGGTTTTAGTTCCATCTTCGCTTTTGCTGGCAACGTGGAGAACCTCGCTTGCTGATTATCATGATAACATTGTGGTTGATTTTCTTTCATACGGTTGGCCCATCAACTACACTGCCGCTACACGTCCTGTCTCATCATCTCATAATCATCCGTCCGCTTCAAACTTTCACTCTCACGTGCAAACCTATCTGGATACCGAGCTGTCTTACAATGCCATCGCTGGTCCTTTCCCTAATCCTCCCTTCGCAGACGCCTTTGTGTGTTCTCCGCTTCAAACGGTCCCTAAACGCGGCTCTTCGACTCGCAGAGTGGTTATGGATCTTAGCTTTCCCCGAGGATCTTCAGTGAATGACGGTATTCCGCCCGATACATATTTAGGCGAACAGTTTAAGTTGCGTTTACCTGGAATAGATCGGCTTGTTGACTTTATTCTCGCTAAAGGCCGTAACTGTCTCGTGTTTAAGAAAGACTTACGTCGCGCTTATAGACAGTTTCCTGTTGATCCTAAGGACTATAGTCTGCTCGGGTTTTGTTACCAAGGACAGTTCTACTTTGATACTCGTTGTCCCTTTGGCTTACGATCGTCGGCACTGATTTGTCAGCGCACAACCAAAGCCGTCGTTCACATCTTTAACGGGCAGGGATTTTCGGCGGATGTCTATTTGGATGACTTTTACGGAGCCGAATATCCGTCTCTTGCTCCTCAGGCTTTTTCACAGCTTGGACAATTATTCCAGCAACTTGGCTTGGATTCTTCTCCGGAAAAGGACACGCCACCTTCCACTTCAATGATTTGTCTTGGCATTTCCGTTGATACTGAAGCCTTCACTCTAGAGGTACCAGCCTCACGTCTGGAGGATTTACGAGCTGAGCTTATCATCTGGAAACAATCTTCATCTTTTACTAAGAGACAACTTCAATCGCTTCTGGGAAAGCTCTCTTTTGTTACGGCATGTGTCAAGCCTGGGAGAATCTTCATGGCCAGACTTCTACAATGTCTTCGCGAATGCAACCATCACGCTGCTAGTCATCGGTACCCCATTTCCGCCACTATGCTCTTGGACATCCAATGGTGGTTTGAATTCCTTCCACGCTATCACCGCATTTCACTTATCAAACCTTCACTGTGGGATTTCGAGGGCCTGAATTTCTCCACCGATGCTTGTCTTCAAGGGGGTGGTGCCACCTGCCAAACACAGTGTATCAGTTTTGTTTTTCCTGATTGCATTTCTCTCCAATCTCTTCACATTAATGCTCTGGAACTGTTCACTATCGTTGTCGCTCTAAAACACTGGGCTCCTCAGTTACAAGGTCGAAAATTCATCGTGGCATGTGATAACTCCGCGGCTGTTACGGTCATCTCATCCAATGCATCAAAAGATCCTTTTATGCAGCGCTGCCTACGCCAGTTATGGTTCACCTCTGCTCTCTTTGACTTTGAAGTCCGCGCGCTCCATGTTCCTGGCAAACACAATCAGTTTGCTGATTGTCTTAGTCGCTGGCACTCCGATCCTTCAGCTCGCGACAGCTTTTATCGCTTTTGTTGTGACTTTAATCAAGTTTTCTATTTTCAAGATGTTGACTCTGCTTGTTTTTCTTTCGATGTTGCGTGACACTCTTTTTATTTAGTTTTGTTTTTCTCTTGTAGACCTCCCTCCGGGATCAGGTCAGCATTCCCGGTCAGATGTTTCTATCATCACATTGCAGTCTTTCGTCTCACGTCTCATCTCCTGTGCACACGCAACATCGACACAGAAGAATATAGCTGCTCATATTCGTAGTTATCGGACTTTTTGTGACCTGAGGGCTCTTCAGTCCTTTCCTATTAGTGTTAAATCGATTAGCTTGTATGTAGCATATTTAGTCGCGCAGAAACGGGCTTACGGTACCGTGCTTAACCATATTAGTAGTCTTAAACACGCTCATCAACTTGCCGGGTCTGAACTCACTTGGAGTTCCGATTACCGCTTTCAGCTTTTATTACGCGGCGCCAAGCGTTTTCTGGGTGCGGCCGTTTCTCGTAAATCGGCCATGACACCTTCAATTTTGCATGCCGCGTTTGATCTTTTCAATTTTTCTTTACCGCTACATGCGGCTATGTGGGCTCTGTTTTTAGTTGCTTTCTTCACCTTTTTGCGTAAATCCAATCTAGTACTCGATAATCCGAGGCAAATCTCCCCCAAGGTTATCACGCGGGCAGATTTGGTTTTCACGTCTTCGGGCGCAAATATCCATGTTTCAGCCACGAAGACCATTCAGTGTCAGCAACGCTCTCTTATTTTGCCAATTCCCGTGATTTCTGGCTCTCGCCTTTGTCCGATTTCGGCTTTGCGACGCTATTTCGCGCTCAACCCGGGCCCCGTGTCTGCCCCCCCTTTTTCAGTTTCCTCCGGGTCGGGTTTAGTACCAATTACTTACAAGCAATTTTGCGCTTTTCTTTCGCGGGTTATGTCTACGCTCAATTTCGACCCGTCCCTTTACTCTCCTCATAGTTTTCGAAGGGGTGGGGCGACTTTCGCATTTGATTGCCATATTCCATCCGAAATAATCAAACTGCAGGGAGACTGGAAGAGCGACGCTTATCTTGTTTATTTAGAATTATCTCAGACACAAAAACAGCAGGCAGCCAAGGCTATGGCCTTAACGCTTCAGTCTATGTTTTCCGACTAAGTTTTATTATCGACTTATGCCTTAGTCTTCTTTCAACCCACTACCAACATTCTCACTCTAGTTTGGGCACTTTGGCGTCTTGGTTTATTGTCAAGCTATCGGTCAGCTTTCTCCGCTTGGTTCAATAAACTTATTTTGCCCAAACTCTCGTGTCGTCTTGGTAACGTGGGTTGATTGAGTAATCATTTATTAATGATCGTTAATTAACTAGTTACGGAGGTGTCAAATGTCTTATATAAACGAGCGCACATTCTTAACCGCTCATCTTTTGTTAGATCCGGAGGCGACGCGTAACCTCTTGCCCACCTCTCCCCCCCTTATATCTCAGTATTCTTGTTGAGTTTATAACCATATTGTCCCTTCGTTTCATTTAATTTAATCTAGTTGCGTCTTGGTTTATTGTCAAGCTATCGGTCAGCTTTCTCCGCTTGGTTCAATAAACTTATTTTGCCCAAACTCTCGTGTCGTCTTGGTAACGTGGGTTGATTAATATTAATTTTATCCATTTACAGATTTCTCAATCTGACCGACTACAGAAGAGTTATCATGAAAAATTCACTGCTCATTCCACATGCAGGAAGGCTGATTTGAATTTTATACTGGTCCAGGCAATGACTAATGGATTCACTTTTCAAATAATCAATTCATTATAATAATAATAATAATCACCTTTATTTAACGAGGGTAACATGGGACAGTACTTCAACTGAATAACTATTGGCCTCGTTAATGAAATCTTGAGGGGTATGCTTGACCTGGCTTGACTGTAAAACCCATTCAGTAACAGATTGTTATGGGTTAAGGTGGCTGTGTGATTGGTGGACCCTGAGAGCAATGGCTGCCACCCCCTGGTGGGCACAATGGGGGGTCAAAAGTGTTGGGACATTTCCAGTGATATTGGTAAAACTAGTGACCCCTCCCCTCCCACCCCAGACAAAGTTAATCTTGAGCACAATGGGTGGAAATGAGTGCTTTTTTTGGCCACAACATTGCTGGAGGGAGTGGGGGGATGATGGGATGAACCCAAAGCAGATAGAAAAATTGTCATTAGGAGCAGAGTGCTATATGTAACAGGCTTTTTCACACAGTTCCAAGTTCTCTTGTCCCCCACTGCAGCCCCTGTTTCAAGGTTGTGTGTACATGTGACAACCCTGAGTATGACGATCATTAGTTAAGGCATAAATTTAAATAGTCAGTGGACGGAAAACATACTTACATAAGGATGGGAATGAACAGGAGAAAAAGGATAAAAACAGCTAATCAATGAATAATTCAAGAGAAATTATATGGCTTTTGTATTACAAAAACAGCAGCAAATTTACTGGGACCTCGGAATACAATATCCAACCACCCAGTAATAAACGCAAAATTAATGTGGCCAGCATACGTTAACCTTGATTAATAATATTGACAAAATTAGAGAACAAAATATCAAACTCACTGATGCAGCAGCTCTGACTTGCTGATTAGGGCCATCACCTTTGAGATAATCTACTGGGCCCATAAAATCTGTGAATTAAAGGTACACAACATTAATCAGAGCATTCATTTGTGTTGCAGCATATACACATCCATGCATGAAACAGCTTTAAATGCATCATTATAATGTCATTTCTGGCTAACCAGAACCATCATTAGTGTAATATAGAGTGATTGGACCCCACACATGTATTATTATTATTACTGAAATCTTAACTGTGCTTTTCAATAACAGACAAACTCAAAAAAATAATACTTTAATTACTTGAACAGCACTGTAACTGTCAATCATGATTATGAGATAAATAAACAAACAAAATGGATCAAAGTCTACCAATCACAACCTACAGAAAACTTGAACTTGCTGAAGAAAACATGTATTATTTTATATTTATATATTTACTCGGAGGTCAATAATGGGACGACAGACAGAAGCGAAAAATGTAAACATTGATTTCATAGAGCCGGTAATTATTTTCAACTTAAGAGTATTGTTGTTCAATTTAATCCTTGGCTGAAATTTTATTTTCCTTTGTTTTGGGGTATGGTAATGTTGATAATGAATTTAAACCAAGGATAAAATTGAACCACAATACATATTCTGGAGCAGATGTGGAATAAAACAGAAATGTGACTATTTCATTTTAAACTGAAATTTAATACAAGGATTAAAGAATTCCAATAGTTTAGCTTCAAACATTTCATGGTTTATGCACAATTTATGAAGTTTAACAGTTGTTCATTGTTATAGTCAAAATTGACCAATCAGGTCACTTGCCGTATTAATTAATACCGTTAACTGACACAACTCAACTCTAGCTCTGAAGATTACTACCGCACAGGCTGTTGAAACATCAGGCACTATCAACAACAGTCCTGGCAGAGTGATTTCACTCCTACCGACATTCACGACTATGCTCACCTGGATGATCACACTTATCACCTACTTATGAAATGACTTTTGGGTTCAAACCTTTCACAAAATAATGTAATCTTACTTTGAGCTTCTCTAAGGACATCTGCTTTGTGTCTAAGACCACTTCTGAACTCTGAATGGCCATTGGCTGATAGATAACAGAGAATTTTAAGGACCTAAAATAGAAAATCAAGAAGTTTTTATCAAGAACAGTAATTATCAAACAACACTATTAAAGGTCCCAGCACATGGCCAGCATCAACAAACATGCATGTGTATACAAGTGACCAACAATCAACAAACACTGTTATAAATTTTATTCCTTTTTTGCCTCACTGAGGTAAACAAATTTAATATTTGAATGATGGTGAAACATGAACATTCCTTTCACAACTTTATTCTTGCCTATCTGAATTGAATGCTACAGAGTTCTGAGCAACATCCTTCTCAGAAACAAACAGGAAATAAACACATCAAGGGACAATGGCTTTCCCCCAGGCCATGCACAATAACAAACTACCTTATTACAAAGGGATATCTTTCCACCCAATTCTCTTGGATTGAGGCTGCCAGTATGTGAAAATCTGACAATTTTTAAGAAGAGTTTTATTTTAACCAAATCACACTTATTCCCTTTTTCACCAAGCCTTTCACTAGGCCATTTCCAAGTTGCTGCAAGCCCCTGTTTCAAAGTGAGGCTAAGTGCAAAGCCATAGATAAGAGAATGATTTTATATTCTCATGCAAACAAAACTGAGTTTGACAAGAAAGGTTCTGCACTTGACCTCATTTTGAAAGTGAGAGTTTTTGGAACTTGGAAATGGCCTGTTATATACAGTTAAGAATGAAATGAGAAACAGCTGTGGTGTTATTTTCTTATAACTTCAGGTATGTGTCTTACCTTGTATTTGACATAAGGAGATTTGTTTTTCAGTCTGACAACTAAATAATCCAATAAAGAGTTGCAGCTGTTAATTGATTCATAAGTTATGCCTGATATACACGTCAAGGAAAACATTCCATAGTCACTAATGTTCAAACAGCATCTAAATAACCCTTAATTATGGTGGTTAGATGCAGTTGAATGAAATTTAACACAGTTAACTACAAAGAGAGCCACCTCTTGTAACTCTAGTCAGATGACATATATGTGACACAGTCTCAGTTAGCCTTGGTGGCATCAGCTTTATATGTTTGGTGCCGTGTTCAATGTGGCTGCAGGGCTTTGTTTAGCGTTTAGATCCTGCATTCTGCTGAGTGATGAAGGTGTTAACATATAGGGGTACAACTGAAGCATTTCAATGATAAGAACAGGGTCCAAATGAGGTCTTAAATTTATACCCAAAAATATTGATGAATCCAAAACTACATGCATGCACTGAAAAAAAATAGAGGATATTACATGGCCACGTGGAGATACGAAATTTCTCTTCGAGGCGAACGAGTGAAATATTTTTTCAACACGAGAAGAGAAATTTTGTATCTCCAAGCGGCCATGTAATGTTCTATTCATTATATAAACATCAATGAGATACCAAACCATTTCACTTTAATAGTTTGTTGGTGTGAAGGGCGCAATTTATCATGTAGCCATAGCAATGGTGATATTTTCACATGTTAAGATAACATGTTATTTTCACATGTGAAGATATCAAGTTTTTGCGCGAAAGCTCACCTGGTATTTCATTGGTGTTTATATAATAAAATATAGTTATTTTGCACTTACATGTAATTAAGTTTAATGGGTATTTTCTGGAATTGATGGTCAGCACATTTAATCAGTCAATTATTGATAACCATCCACTTATTATTGGTGATTCTAGCAGGGCTGCAATTAAGAGCCGAGGGTCAGGGATTTCCCCTGGCTACTTTCATAGGAAAATAGAAGAAAAATAGAACCAAAAGAAATCCCTAGCTGTATGATTCCTCATCTACTTGTTGTATATACCCAACAACTTGAAATCTTAGTGACATCCTGTTCTAATAATTCTTGCCATGGGTGGTAATTTTGGAATACCCAGCCTAGCAATGAGGATTGTATGAACTAGAAACAAGAAGGAAACCCAGGGCTATATAGGTATGTGCCACTGTGAAGGGTATGGTTTTCACGCAGTTTACTCTAGGACAGGGTATATAAATCAGAGCGTTTGAGTCTAGAATAGGGTATCATTTTTCAGGAAACTGATCAGTTGGTTGAAGATTTTATCTAGACTAGGGAAACAGCTACTCTAGGATAGGGGGGATTTGGGGAGTTTACTCTAGTATAGGGAAGGAAAATTCAGCTGAACTAGTTCTGGTATAGGTTAAGGGTTCCAGGGTCCCAGCGGCACATTCCCGCCCAGAAATTCCTAAAGTAACCCCCCACCCCCCCCGGAAGGAAACTAGCTAGGGCAAGGTAACTTTCGCAACCACTTCTGAGACTATTACTGGGGACAAAGGGAAAAAATATTGGCCAACAGCTGATCAATGGACCTTGAAGAAAGAGGACGTGTGGAGGCTGGAGAGCTGTGAGATGTGGCTTTGGAGAAAGGTCTTAAACATTTCTTGGTCTGACAAAGTCTGTAATGAAGAAGTATTGAGGTGTGTCGGTGAGGAGAGGGCCAACATATCTGTCATCAACAGGAGGCAGAGGGTGCTTTCCATTCAACCCAAAATTCCAGAAATTTCGGTTGGTACATCAAATGGAATGGACCATTTCGCTTTGGTCCGACTGAAATATTCGGGACCAGCTTTGAAGGTGGTCCACTTTGACTGGTCTGGTTATCTCTGTCGGTCGGTCGGTCGGACTGAAATGTCCCGTTCCATTTGACAAACTTGTTGTCCCCAGTACACTCTTTTGTATCCTCCTTACAAGAACAATAACCAAACACGCAGTGGCTTGGGTTGGGTCTGTGCAACCAGAATGTACCATTTCATTGGGCACATGGAATTTCCGAAATTTCAAACCGGAACATGAATTGAATGGAAAGTGCCCAGAAAGTCTGGCTTGGTCATACCCTACGACATAGTGATCTTGTCCCAGTCGTCATTGAGGGAAGACTAAAGGAAAAGGGGCCACCAGGTAGACCTCGAGCGGGAATGCTGGATAGAGTGAAAGATGGCAGCCCTTACGTAGTGGTCAAGAGGCACGCCTAAGATCAAGAACTATAAGGAAGGACCTGCCTGTGGGCAGAACACACACCCACACAGCTGATTGGTGCGTCCCCACTATAGATTCCGAAAGTCTTTCCTTCTTGTTTCTAAAGTGGTCAATGGAGGGACTGTACAGATATTTTTCAGAACCACACTGTTAAGTTTTGAGATATGACACAGCCTGGAAAGGATACTGTTGATTTCTTGGTATATGTAGCCTGGCGTTGGATTATCATCATCAAAAGTAGCTCTACTTAGCATTGGCATCTGCAATAAGATGCCTTGGTTGATTAGTTCCAGTAATATCAAATTGAAATTATAAAGTGTTTCTTTCCCTGCTTCAAAAAAGCAGTTGTTAAGTTTCCACGCACCCTTAGAAAGATACAATGTAAATCTAGAGTGTGAGACAGAGTCTATGCATAGAAAATAGTTAACTCAGTTCCCATTGATCCCAAGACCTGGCTTTGACCACTAACTTAACAGGTTTAGAGGGCCTCAGCAGCACACCTCTACCCGAGGTAGTCAATCGATAAATTAAATCGATAAAAATTGGTAAATCTGATTTGATTGATATCGACTGTAACGATCAATCGGTAGAAATCGATGACACACTCGTTTCATTTATTGATTTATCTTTGATTTTTACCAGTTTCATCAATTCATATCGGGGTCACATCTGCTCATGATCTGTTCATCAAAAAATTAAAACTGAATTCATGCAAACAATAAATTTATTGACAATTGAGTAGCAATTAAGAGCCGTTGTTGAAAGTGACTGACGATTCGACAGTCTGTGTGGTAGTCACCTTCAGAGTCAAAGTTGACAGTAAATAAGATTTACTCTCCCTTAGCAGGCAAAGATGGACAAAATTGAAGAAGAATAAAACGCATTGCAACAGTGGTTTTTGAAAACTATGTTACCCTAACAGTCCTTAACTTCAAAGTTTTTTGATCTTGTTTGTAACGTTTGACATAAGCTTAATGCTTTTTAAGACAAATTTGTTTGACATGAGGCTGTGATTTTGTCATTTCCAAGAAATTCACTCTATAACGTAAGTCACGTAAGGAAGGGTAGTTTACATTGCAGCAGTATTGACAAAATAAACAACACAGTCGTGACAAGGCCCCTTTAAACAATGTAGGAAGCACACATAGAGTCATTTGAAAATTCTAGAACTAAAAAATTATTCGCTGATATTAACTGAACCTTACCTTTTTCGCAAATGAAAATGTTTCTGAAATTCTCTCAGCGATTTGGGCAGCCATTTTGAATACGAGCCTTCTCCCCCAAGGCCTGCGGTTTTCACATCGGCTATATATGAGGTACTTACACTGTAGGAATCATATATGAAGTATCTACCAAGTCAGAAAAATATTTCGTGCAGAACGCAACGAACTCCAAAACGAGGCAAGAAACAAGCTCAATTTTAGTGAGTGTTTATTTTTGCGAGGCATTTTTAATGGTTATATCCCCAGGAATCTATAGACTTCATAGATCTTTGAGTTGCTTCATCGTTGTCCTGACAGCTATTGCTGCTTTAGGTAAGCTGAGTTCTTTAAATTTAATTAATTGGAAGCTGATTACGTAACTTTAATGTAGCTTGCTAAGAAATCGCTGCCCGGGTGCAGGCAAACAAAGCTCTTCGGAGCTCTTCTTTCAAATTACGAGACAAAGGAATCATCAGTGATCGAAGGATTCGTTTTTTCAGATGTGTTTGTGGCTACAGCGTTTTGCCCGTTTCATCGCTCTCAATATTTGCAGTTTCTGTGTAACAGTACAGGAAAGAAAAGGTACCATAAAAAAAAATTTAACCGGTCTGACAAGGCGCCTGAAACCTCTTGTGTCTGGTTATGTCACCCAAGTAGTTTTCTAGCGCTTAGGCGCATAGCTTAAAGACACGTAAATTAGGTGTATTTGACGTTCTTAAAATTTTAAAAAGAAATATACGTGGAAAAGCAGTAATTCGCGCCACAGGGCAACAGCTTGAAAGAAATTTTTGGGTGAGCTAACCTTGTTTTTATGTGTAGGTCGGGTACAAGACTGGACTTTGATCCGAGATGTTGTAATTGACATCGGTCAAGGAAAACGCAGCTTGCGGATTAATGTTTTCACCATGCAAATGAGAACATGACAACAATAGTCCCATTGTTTTCTAACCCTAAAAACAATGGTCCACAGTCAGTCCACAGTTTTCATTTTACACTGCCTTTTTTGCTTTGTACAGGGGTTTATGGTTGCCCTGTTTTGCTGTACATGTGCAATATAAAATAAAACTATAAGAACAAGCGTGCACAGACTTCCCCAAAAATGTTTAAATTTTCTTTACTTAGTGTAATAGTTTGCTGTAAATCTAGACTGTAAAACAGACAGCAGTCTACCCTGCGAGCAGTAGCTACATTTTCGCTTCAAATCCATCCAGAAATCTGGACGAATAAATTTAAAAAACAGGCTTTTTCCTGTTCTTGACCAGTTTAGAGAGTTGCTTGAGTCTTGCATGAGTCTTGCGTAGCATGTCAGAGTTGTCATAATTTTTTTTATTCCCGCGAAACTCGCGTCATTTGATGACAGACCTGACGATTAATTTTGCTTGCGAATTGCATGATGAATTTCGCGCATGCATGATAGAAAATTGAACAGTTGTCGGTAGAGGCTACTTTTCGCATGCCAGCTCACACAGCAAAAATGTAGCCACTGCTCGCGGGCACCAGCAGTCTCACTCTCCATTTTCAACCCCACTCCAGACCTTCCCTTCAACCACTTGCGAATGTGTTCTTAACCTAGGCAAAAAATGGGATGTTTTGCAGTCTATTGTATTAATCTAGATCTGACATTTTTAATTTGAATTACTGATCCTTTATGACTAGAAGTTTTACATTAATAATTTTGTATTCATAGCATATTTTTTCTCTTTATATTAAATAGTTGTCATGGCAACTGTCATGGATCCTACTCTAGCATCCTTACCGTCAATGACATGTGAATCAGATTGGAGGGGACTGAAGGTCAATTTGTTTGCTTTTGATTTTGATGGCACATGTACTCAAAAGGACACCACAAGTCTACTGTACAAGGCAACAGACAAGTACCTCGCTTCCACAGAAGCAGAAAGGAAACAACTTGACGCTCTCTGGAGTGAATTAGGGAAAAAATACTGGAGTGGGCATCAAGATGTTGTCTCAAGGTCACTTTCTGTTAATGATTCTCCCAGTTTTTCTGCTTATAATGAAAAAGAACTGAGGTCATTTCTGCAAAAGGTGTATGACTATGACTTGACAATGATGAAGCAAATTGAGGGAAGTAAGATTCTACAAGGAATTTCCAAAGAGAGTATCAAGGAAGCTGCAGAGGAAGTAAAACTTAATCCTGGCTGCTTGAATGTTCTTAACCATGTCAACTTGCCTCTGTATCTCATTTCTGTCAACTGGTGTCAAGATCTGATTCATGCCAAGCTGGGTCACCTTAAACATTTAAATATCTTTGGAAATAACCTTCCTCTTGAAGGCGAACTTTCATCAGGCCATTTAGGCAAGACTCTTACAAGCGCTTTTGACAAAGAGAGAATTTTTGAGGACTTGATTGGAAACACAACTGAAAGATCTGATGGAGTTTCAGTGTTTGTTGGAGATTCAATAACTGATTTGCTTGCTTTGCTGAAGTCAGATGTCGGTATACTGATCGGAAAGAGTCAAACTTTCAGGAAAGTAGCCAAGTCGTTTGGAATAAAGCTTCTTCCCTTGCAGGACATACAAGCGATGAAAGGTGGTGATTGTCATGAGAATGCAAATCCAAAACAGAAGGGAGTACTGTTTGAGGCACCATCATGGAATGAGATTGGTTTTATCTTGTTTGGAACAAAATACAGTCCTAATAAGTTCTAGAAAAATGTCATTAAAATAATTCCCATCAAATTATAATTATTTACAAATTTAGAAAGTTGAGGTGTAAGGAAGATGTTTGAATAGATGGATTGAAAATTCTTTCACTCCAAAGTTTTCGTAATCTGATGCTCAGACAGGTTTATGACATTTGTCTCCATTCTGCACTTAAAGGGACCTCAGTTAATCAGAGAATCAGGCATAACAGGAAAAAAGAAAACAGAACAATAAGTAACCACACAAAAGGAATTCTGTAAAGGTTTTATTGAATTGATTAGACAGCAGAATTCATTTAGAGACTTAATAGTTACATTATTGTAGAACTGGATTGAAAGTCCCTATACATGACTTTGAGAGTAAAGGGGTTAAAATATGAAAACAAATTTTACGATGATTTAACACAAACACTGTAGTAGAAGAAAAGCTACTGTTGGAAAGCATTACCACATTATGATAATGTGGAGGTGACAAAAAAATGTGTAAAGATGGGTAAAAGGATTCCCAGAGTGAAATGAAACATTTTACACCATTGCTTAAAGAGAGCCCAAGACAAAGAGATGATACCACATACAGTGGAACCCCGCCTTACAACCACCCCGTTTATAAGACCACCTCATTATTACGGCCATATTCTTTCAAACCAAACTTAAAATCCATTGAGTCATTTTATTGTTTTGAAGACCCCGTTAATGCGACCACCTCGTTATTACAACCAGGATTTTATGGCCCAACGGTGGTCGCATTAATGGGGTTCCACTGTACCATGTATGTATTAACCAGTTAGTGTCTACTCTGCAAGAAGAGGCCCATTGATCTTCGTAGATAAGTTCATTTCATTATGAAATCACCTGGGGTACTTACCATTTACATGGAAAAACCATAAAAATTCTGGTTGGAAAATCAAATGGTTCATGCTATTCCATTTGGGGAGCTTTGGAAAATATGGGCTTTGATTTGAGGGGATGCAATTTTTCTACTCTTTTTAATTTGATCAGCTGATTGGATATACTTTGTAGTGGGTCAGTCTCCCACCATGTCAATTTTTAAAGTTTTATGTTTATATGCACAGTATTTCTGTCGTGTTTGAATTTTATCCTTGGTTCGTGTGAATGGTAAGCTCTCCCGGATATAACTAGAATCACTCTGTGGTTTTTGTCACAAATATTAATTTTATCCACATTTCACATTGGAGTTAAGTAAGAGCAACTGTGCAAGGTAGATCAAACAATTTTTGAAAAATATGGCTTGGTTATTCAAGCCGATCTTTGTAGAACATTTATTTGTTTGATGCCTTTCCTTGCCTACTTAACTAAATGATTCATTAAATATGGTATTATGTTTTAAAAAGATAACTGTATTTAAATGAAGCTTAGTAATACCGGTAAATCATGTTTAAATTAAGTTTGAGTGTAAGCAAGCACTCTGTTCAAACATAACAAGAACAGGACACACATGCAACATGAGATGCAATGTATTGTATGCAAGTGCCCTGGGGCTGGGGAGGGGAGGGGAGCACTCAAGCAAAGTTTGGGTAGAGGGGTACCTCTGAGGTCTTCAAACCCTGACCCTGTTTAAGATGAGAGCACTCATTATTTAATAATTAATTATTAAATTCTTTTTGCATACAGAATCAAAGTATTTTTTTTTAAGACTATGATCACGTAATTAGAATTGTTTTGTTTGTATACCACAATTCTGGAGCATTACTGTTACCGGTAAATTCTTTTTTAACTAGAATGAACCATAATACCATTAATTCATTAATACTATTCATCATGAGTTTTAAACTAAAAAAATAAAAATACTGTAGAAATCTCGAAATGCAAATAAAAAGGAGTGCAAGAGATGTCAAGTGAATGAAGCTTAACAATAGCACGTGGATTTTTCAGTCAGCTTAGTTGGCAAGAAAAAAGAGGAATACATCTGAAGAATCTATATTTTTTTGGAAGCGTTGACCAGAATGAGCTCAACAATCTGAGTTGTTATCTGAAAATTCCAGTGTTTTAGGTCAAACGGTACTGTCAATTGCATCTAAGCATGGACACGAGACAAAAAGCATGTCCTAATACAACAAGACAGACATGACGTGTTTTGCCTCCAAACATCAATTTTGAAGTTTGACAGCTGTTAGAGCAGTCTACAAAATCAAAAACTTTCAACTTAAAAAGCACAACTCAAGACTTCTTACCATTTTCTAAGATGTCACCTTTATTTTCCAGACTTTTTCCTGGTATAGAAAATTACTAAATTTCAAGACTTTTTCAAGAATTCAAGACTCTGTATGAACCCTGTTGATATTGTGAATATATGGGAATTTCAAGAGCACATACCATGAACCTTAAGTACTCTAGTCACTGACAGGGGACATAGAATTCATTTGCAAGATAACATATTCCCCACTTACAAAACTTATGTTTTAAAAATCCAAACTAAAATGACAAAAATAACAATAAAACCATCAGGCTGCTGAATGCAAAAGAGATCACCAGAAATCCCCCAGAGAAAATATCTGGATATGGAATTACTTAGTTTTGCTGGGTTTCCCTCTGGTAACTCTGCGTCCTTCTGGGCATATTTTGCAGTTCAGACATGATTCACACTGTGGTCCTACAGGAAGACATGTTTGTTGACCAAATCCAACCAGCAGTACATTCAATTCATCCCATTCCTCCCTGGCAAAAGAGAAGAGAAAGTTTCCTTTAATCTGCAGTGATTTACCTCACAGTAATCACAAAAGCACCAAGGTGTCAGAAGTGGGAGTAAACTGTCAACTGCTGTTGGGGAGAACTTCCCTTAAATGTTAGAGTGATCATCATCATATCTTTCAGTGGCCTAAATTTCAGTTCTCTCCTCAAGTCAAACTCCCAAGAGAGACAGTGTTACATATGCCTACAGATGAAAAATCAATATAAAAAGTTGGTTCGCATTTAGTTAGAGCCACTTTGTGGCAGTTTTATTAGTGATTTCATAGGCGGCTTAGTGATTGATTTTTGTGACTATTAACAAGCTTGTGTCGAGCTAGCAAATATTCCCACTTACTGTCATTTCCACCGTCTGTTCTTGCATTTGGGTGCAATTTTTTAATAATGGTGCTAAAGGTCTGCCCAGAATACTGCATGCAGTTGACTGTTCCACCATTTAACATGAGTTACAAGTAAAACAATTCTGTACTCTGCACACCTTATCCTGGTGATAGTTATTCCATTATTTACTGGTTGAAAATCATATTTTGGATTTTGCATGAATTAAAACAAAGGGGGTAGTGGTATTACTGGACGGCATAGCAGTTGGTTGATTCATAAATCTCTCTCAAGAGTTTGCGACTCAAGTAAATGGCTGAAATTCAGGCTAACCTTAAAAAAGTTTGAAACTGATTTATAGAACACAAATTTAATTATCAAACCACTGAATGAATTTAAGATCACTGAGCAAGTTCCCTCATTATCTGCATCATTTTCCTCCAAAAGCTGCTGTTTTATCCCACAAATTCTTATATTTAAAAATTTTGTCATTTTAAACTTTGAGGGCTTCTGACTTTGTGTTGTTGTGTTCATTCACAAAAAAGAAAACTGGCAGGACCTGGCAGGGGCTTTGTCAAAAAAGCAAGTCTATCACTTTCACAGCATGCTTTGATCATTGGTTGAACTAAGTATCCCGTTGATTTAATTAACACATCCAAAAAAGTGGTTCTGCTAACTTTCATTTCTAAATGTTTCAAGAACCATACAACCCATGAGTCATTCCTAGATGGTAGGTACAGCAGAAAAGTAGCATTGGAATCAGTTTGGTTTGGCAGATGAGCTTAAACTTTTCTTATAATTCAGACTGACATCTCTCAGTTATGGGTGATCTGGATCAACCAAAATTAAGACATTTGAATGAATTGTTACTCCATGGTGGAAGTGGGTAGTAGGATTTGAAGTAGTAAGACCTTTAATCTGTGTATTCTCTAAACCTGTATTTAACATTATTGCAATTAAAGGAGATTAAACAAAAAAGAAAAAGAAGATACCTTGGTAGCCAGCTCTCTACAGCGACTCTAGTTTCTTCAGGAAGTTTGGTGGGCTTTTTAACCCAGCCAAGTCTATTAGCAATCCTGTGGACATGAGTATCAACTCCAATTCCCGTCACCTCCCCCCACGCTACATTCATGGTAATGTGTGCCATCTTGGGACCCACCCCTGGCAGTGCTGTCAGATCCTTTACCGTGGGTGGAATGTCACCTTTGTATGTTTCAGCACAAATTTTAGTTGCCTCCTTAATATACTCAGCCTTTTTCTGAAATTAAAAATAAAAGAAAAATGTCAGCTGAACTCATCGTACTAAATCAAAAAATTTATTGATACACAGTCAAATTTGAATTGAGTGTCATGTGAATGAGAGCAGAAAAAAAGACCTTGTCTTGGATGACAGCATAAACTGTGCAAATTTTTCATAGTTATAGAAATAATTAAATTTGAGTATTATCAATATAAGTACACTTGTATGATAAACCCAAACAGATGAACCAATCCTGTTGTTCATTTATAAGTTAGCCTGTTTCGGTATGTACAGTTTTTAATCAACACTCACACTCACCTTCCAGAAACCAACTGGGTAAATCAGCTCCCCTATTTTACTTGTAGGTGTTTTAAGAATATTCTCTACTGTTAGGCCATGTGCTTTTAACTTTTCCATGGCTGCAAATGTGACTTGGTCTTTTGTTTGACTTGATAGCATGAGAGAAATAAGGACTTGGTAACGAATGGTCTGCAAATTAGGCAAAAAATACAAGTTCTTCATCCTTATCATCATTTTTCTTTCTTGTCAGTCCTTGTAGGGAATAGTCACCAGTATGAAATCCATGGTTGATGTAACATCTTGATGATAAATCATTCCCCTTCAATAATGCACTAGTCTGTGGAAAGCCCCCCACCCCTATACCTGGGGAAGAGCATGGCATTAGGCCAGGCCTGCCTTGTAAGTGAAGCAAATTCCCTACTATATATATGCAGAACAATTTTGAATGTCAAGGCGACACTCTTGTTCTCTGCCTCAGGGGCAATACAGTACTTCAAAAATCACAAATGTATAATGATGACCAAAATCAATATATCTAAAAGTTGTTTGCGTCCAAATGAGCTGTTACAACAAAAAAAGTAAAATAAACAATGCCTTGAGTTACAGAATTGGCATTCCAAATTTTTGACCTTTCCACGTGATTATATTATGATTACACGAGCAATCCAGCTTATAGGCCCACCCAGAACAAGAATATTCCACTTATTTCCGGTCAGAAGCAAGGTTATGTGCTTCTGATCCTGTACCATGCTTATTGAAGATGGTGTAAAAGCAAATCCCCATCTAAGCCCTGCCAATGGTCCTTGCTCGCTGATGGCTTGCATCCAATATTTTTGAAAACATCACATATCATGGCAACAGAGACAGTACTCAGTACATTAAATGGAGTAATAAGATGGTTAGATTTATAACAGGCCATTTTTATGATGATGCCATTTTCCCTTAACACTGACCAGGTTGCTTCAGGATTTTGTTTTCTCATTCTTGTGCTATTATAAACCTCATTGGCATGCTTAAATTGAATTAACTGAGCCTTAAGCTGGGTTCAATCACAGCATGAAAATAGAGTAAGCCTACTAATCTGAACAATAAGCCTTAGAGTAATGGTACAATAATTACATCAAGTGATTTTGGTTAATTATACGTCGATCATATGTGACATCATGGAAGCTTATCTGAAGGCTCTTTGCATGAATTGGTCAGTCTTAAGTTCAATTCGAAAGGCAAGCACATTACCCAGCTCTCCCTCCAAATGGAGTCTATTGATTCAGTTACGACGTCATTCGCTACGCGGGGGGGTACTCCTGGGAATTCTTGCCAGGGGTGTGCCACCCAGTTCTTCAAATCCTGACCCGATTTCAGACCAAAGAATGTAATATATTATCCACACCCATTTTCAGACTAGACCTCCAAAATCCATACCCATTTTCAGACCTGGCCTTTATGTTATCACTACTTAGATTAGGGCAAAAACACAATCCTGTAGTTCCCTTGAAAACCATACCCAATTCCAGAACAAAATGGGCAAAGTGTATATCCATTTTCAGCCCAAAACGGCGCAAAAACCCTACCCGATGGGGCCGCACATACCTACGTGGCTTATATAAGGGAGTACCCCCCCCACCCGGTTCGCTACTCAGTGTGCTTGTTGTCTAACTCAATAAACATTAATGGAGGTTAACAAAGGCCATGCCAAGCCTCTCTTTTCCTATCCGTTTCACGTAGCAACCCTAATCGCGATTCCCGGGTCGCGATTATCCATTCCCAGCCCACAAGCTGCCCAAGACTCACCTCAGCTGACTGGTTCATATCAGCTGTCTTCTCACATCCTTGTGAATCTACCGGTGCGTCCCGTAATTTTCTCATTTCACGGATATTAGCTAGTTGTTCCCTCCAGTTAGCAGGTTCCCAGTCTGAAGACTGTTTTTTTGTTACAGAAGTATCCTTCTTACGCTTCTTAGAGGCTACATCTTCTTTTGAATCATCGCTCGCTTGTTCTCTCCCTCCATCTTGGTTTTCGGACTCGTATTCGATCTTCACGTGCTTTCTCGCCGGTTTCTTTTTCTTTCCCAGAGCATCTGCGGCCGCTCTTGTAGCCGAACGCGTTTGTCTTCCACTTGCCGTAAAATAAGGAGACGAAATCATCCTTACAATTGTAGAAATAGAACACCCGATCATATGTTTACAAGAAATTAGCGACCGACCGCCATTGTTGTCTTTGTTCTGTGTTGACGACTTTTGGCGGGAAACTTAGGTGTCTGGGTTTTTTACGTCAGGGGCACCGAACGGCAATTTTCGGGAAAATATCTGTTCGGAAGACGATTTGAGATCTAGAATTTTCGGAGCATTTGTTGTAAAATTTTTTGCTTGCCTGCCTCTCCTAGGATTTTCGAACATCTACAAAATGGTATAATTACTCATTTTTAACGGATTTTGACCCTAAAAAAGGCCACCTAGAATTTTCGGGAGCCTTTTCCTGGCTGAAATTTTCGAGAAGGTAAGTTTTTATCCCTATAATTTTCGGATCACTAGATTTTCAGCTAGGAAATCCGAACAGATGAAAAGTTTTTAGGGGATAAAAATATGCCTATATCTACCGTTTGAATACTAAAATACGTTCAACTCTGCTATGTTAACCCCTGTAGTGTTACTTGTGGGGAGGGGGTCGAAATTTTAAGACACTGGACCGGCGTTCTATATATGTGAAAGTTGTCAAATTATGATTTAAAAAACAAATCCACGTTTCCTTCAAGAGGTTCTTTCCCACTGACAAAATTTAGGGTTGAAATCTTGAAAAAAAAATTTCCTGAATGCATTTTTATCATTTAATCGGGATGACTGATAAATTTTCACATTATTTTGGTGTCTTTGTGTTTGTATTTTCTTTAACAAACGTAGTGAGAACTGTACACACCCCTTATCTCGGTCCTAAACTTTATTTCAACTTAAATCAAATTTCTACTTACTTTGTTAACAAGTTCCTTGTAATTATTATTTTAGCGGAGCCCCCGCGCGCGCGAAGCGCGCCCAGCGGAGCACCATGAGAAAGAATGCATCCAAGAAATTTTGGTTCTGACGAAAGTATGTACGTACATCCACCCCTTCATGTAAGCCGGATTGGAATTTTGCATTTCAAGTACCCGCGGGTTTGGCGGTAAATCGCATAGCCACCCGGACTTTTAAAGAAAAAACAACAACAACGAAGCCGATTCTTTATTCCGACTTAAATTTTAATGTCTACATTGACGTGGATAACAGAGAAAGAGCTAGAGCAAGAGATAAAAAACAAAGGAGACCAATTTCGTCGTAAGAATAACATGAAAATTTTATAACGGCGGTAAGAAAACGAAAAATGTTAGCGGCCCTCAAGGTGAAAATGAGTGGCAGCAAGAGAGGATGAGATCATTCTCTCTTGGTGGCAGCGAACAAACAAGTGAACAGGAACACATACAACATTTCCTTCTTAAAACGTGTAACTAGGAAGTTTCTGGAAGCCGGTTGTAGTGGTGCAAAACAACGGCAAAGAAATGTACAAAAAAAGCGTGCAAAGTTGTTTTTAGAAGGGGTATATAAAGAGGAGGGAGAGGACTGAAAGGGCGGGAAGTGCAGTGGGAGTTTAAAAAGGGCGGAAAGCGGCATAAACAGAGGGAAGTAACGCAACAATGCTTAATAGTTCGCAGTCAAAAAAGGGCTAACGGTAGAAGGCCAAGAAATCGGGGGTCGGAGGCTAGAGGTTTGGACCCCCTGTCCCTCTACCTCTTATACCGCTTGAAATCGGGCCTAACTATTTGACCCAGAATATAGTAGATCCAGGATGGACCCTTCATAAGTGTACTTCAGTTCGATAACATATTTGCCCAAATATCGCTCGATCAACGTCAAGTTAAAGCGTCATTTCATATCTTTCCAGAAATGCGTTTACATTCATGTTTGGATTGAAACGTTCTTCTAAAGAAATGAGTATCGATCAATATTAATGTATAAACACTGGGGCGGACCAGACGGTCCTTAGAGCTGTTCAGAACACTCACAGAAAGTGTTTATTGAGGGCAAGTTTGAAAATTGTCGCGAAATGATTCTCAGTTATTTTTTACCAGCCTTGGCTTGATCAGGAGCTGATTACGTGCCTTGATAATACCTTGCATTTAGTATATATTCTAACAAGAGCCATTATGGCTCTTGATTCTAAACATTGCATAAACCACTTAATAACACTGCAGCGGGAGTTCGTGAAACTAATTTCTAAAAATTACAGTTGAGGACTTATTTTGACTTTCCGCATTGAGCTGTTTCGAAGATGAACATAATCTGAAGTACATAAATGTTTAATCACCACAATTGCAGCGATAAATGGTGATCAGATATTGTAAAATATCCTCCATGTCCTCGGACCACTCGTTTTACACAGTTTTTCCAAAGCTAGGCAAACTACTGTCTATCAGCTCTACCAACTAAAGATTGACTAAACTGTATTTTCTAAGACTACTCTTGATTACCGAATCTGATAAAAATAGACGGTCTGTACTGTCGCAATTTGTAATAATCATCGCACTTTGTAATACCTGTCGCAATTTGTAATAAATCCATCGCACTTTGTAATACCTGTCGCAATTTGTAATAAACCGTGTCGCACTTTGTAATAAAAAAGCTGTCGCAATTTGTAACAACTGTCCATCGCACTTTGTAATAAACTAAGCTGTCGCAATTTGTAATAATTCCATCGCACTTTGTAATAATTTTTTGAGAGTGATTCAAATCACTTCGTCAACATTAATATAACGCCAAAATATGCATGGTACTTCATAAACAAAGATGATGACGTCTGCTAGCACGTAACAACTCCGCTCATTCAAACACTTAACTTTATTCACAGTCCTAAACTTTTTTTTTTAGATTGATGTTGATTAGTTATCTGATTTACGAAATGCTGTATTCTTAAACCTTGCCATTGTACTAGGTTGTTTGCATTCAATGGTTACCCGGCGGGTGTACTTCCTTATATGTCCAATACGGGGATGCGCCTCTGGACAGAGCATTGCCAGAGTACAGGATCTAGACAGAGCTAGACTCACTAGACACAAACGAGCCATCATTAAAAAGCATTTAATTCCGCAAATCGTAACATCCATCCTACATCATTCGAATAAGGATACCAGGAGAGTTCAAGCTTTCCTTGTTAGATCTTATAACAGGTCGACACAACACGTGGTGCACCGTCCTTGTCTAACGCGCAATCTTAAAGAAGTAATAGTGGCTTCCATATGCATATTTTGGCCAACTAAATCAAACGAGTCCGGAAAGATTCAAAATGTTTAGTGTAAATAAAAAAAAAGCACCTCACCAGTCGCAATCCGTCGAACCACAACAGAAACCTAAACACAAAATCCAGTTAGTCGCTGGCCAATACCTTCGTATGTACCTGTTTTTATAACACGCACTTGGGGTCTTACACTGAACCGGCTGGCCATTTGGTCCATTATTCTCCCTTGATTTGGTCCCATATAGGAACAAAAGGAGTACTCATTCCATATTAAAACAATTGTTTTCTATAAGGAGTCCTCTAAAACAAATACCATGGGAGTAGTAGAAAATTGTCCTTCCCTGAGTATAAACACTCGTAAGACCTTGCAACTCTTCCGAGCGTGTTCTGGAATACTGTTTTTCCACAAAATGGAAAGGATGGAATAAACCATCCATTACTACTTGAGTTACCCTATCTAAGGATCAAACCAAAGACACAAGGCCAACAACGTAAAAAATGATACCGTATTAAAGGCTCGAGATCCTCAAAAACCATACCCTATCAGGCGGTACTTACCTATCTAGCCCATCCATATATAGGATCCCCCGAAGACTTCACGTGTCACGTGGCAAGCAGACATGGATTTGGACGACGAATGCTAGGTTATTCATGAATTTTGTGTTGTTAAATGTTGCATTTTTTATTTAAATATTTTTTAATTTAAACATGATTCATATCTTTTTGATGATATGTCACAGGAACTCTCATGTCTTTCATAAAGCGTTTCTAGTTGGTCACGTGATTAATCAAGGCAGAAAAAGTTACCAAAGAAAAGGTTACGGAGACGTTACGTGCTAGCAGACGTCATCATCTTTGTTTATGAAGTACCATGCATATTTTGGCATTATATTAATGTTGACGAAGTGATTTGAATCACTCTCAAAAAATTATTACAAAGTGCGATGGAATTATTACAAATTGCGACAGCTTAGTTTATTACAAAGTACGATGGACTGTTATTACAAATTGCGACAGCTTTTTTATTACAAAGTGCGACGCGGTTTACTACAAATTGCGACAGGTATTACAAAGTGCGATGGATTTATTACAAATTGCGACAGGTATTACAAAGTGCGATGATTATTACAAATTGCGACAGTACACGGTCATTTTTTATATGTACAGATGTATGACATAAAACCTCTTAAGCGGTCTGTAACTATGGAAAACACTCCAAACACACCTGTTCGGCGGCGCCAGAGTTGCCCTCTGTTAAGTTAAATAGTATCATAAAATATTAAACGAATAATCAATAGCACTCTTAGTTTATGCGAAGACTTCTTCAGAGAAGAGGAAAATTACCGTGAAGAAGAACAAGTTAAGAATGAGTAGACCTGGATTATGGTTTATTTTTCAGTTCCTCTTAAGCTGGAGATCAGTAAGTCCAATGAGCTCTCTAACTGGGACATCAAATCCAAGCAGGTTATTTTGCGCACGATATGGAAGATTCGAACAACCTCAAAAAGGCGAGTTAAGATTTGAAATTTAAACTTTCATTTTCAGTGTTTAAGGGCCGGGTTTAGACGCCCAGATGATCGGAATTTCGACTTTTATGCTCCTTTTAATTTACCCTATGAGCTGAGGTTCTTCGATCTTCCCAGGGGCACCAAACGTTCCCTGTAAAATCTCTGCCGTCCGGAGAAGCAAATATATTGCCTAGAATTATCTTTAGCTTGAGGACGGTTTAAATTTCTAGACTGACGGTCCATTCATGTAATATTTTCGAAGCTTATCTGATAAATTCTCTGAGATTTTCTGAAGTTTAACTTTTCATATTTTATTACCCAGGTTACACAATTTTTCTTAGAAAAATGAAAAGGAAACCTAAAATTTTCGGATTCTAAAATCTGATGGAGAGAGGAATCAGAAAAATTCTCACTTTCGTAAAACGTTAAATTGCACCTAACATTTTCGGAAAAATAATACT